GCCTCACTCCCCTGCCAGCAGCTTCACTCCCCTGCCAGCAGCTTCACTCCCCTGGCAGCAGCTTCACTCCCCTGGCAGCAGCTTCACTCCCCTGCCAGCAGTTTCACTCCCCTGCCAGCAGCTTCACTCCCCTGCCAGCAGCTGCACTCCCCTGGCAGCAGCTTCACTCCCCTGGCAGCAGCTTCACTCCCCTGCCAGCAGCTTCACTCCCCTGGCAGCAGCTTCACTCCCCTGGCAGCAGCTTCACTCCCCTGCCAGCAGCTTCACTCCCCTGGCAGCAGCTTCACTCCCCTGGCAGCAGCTTCACTCCCCTGGCAGCAGCTTCACTCCCCTGCCAGCAGCTTCACTCCCCTGCCAGCAGCTTCACTCCCCTGCCAGCAGCTTCACTCCCCTGCCAGCAGCTTCACTCCCCTGGCAGCAGCTTCACTCCCCTGGCAGCAGCTTCACTCCCCTGGCAGCAGCTTCACTCCCCTGGCAGCAGCTTCACTCCCCTGCCAGCAGCTTCACTCCCCCTGCCAGCAGCTTCACTCCCCTGCCAGCAGCTTCACTCCCCTGCCAGCAGCTTCACTCCCCTGCCAGCAGCTTCACTCCACTGGCAACAGCTTCACTCCCCTGGCAGCAGCTTCACTCCCCTGGTAGCAGCTTCACTCCCCTGGCAGCAGCTTCACTTCCCTGGCAGCAGCTTCACTCCCCTGGCAGCAGCTTCACTTCCCTGGCAGCAGCTTCACTCCCCTGGCAGCAGCTTCACTCCCCTGCCAGCAGCTTCACTCCCCTGCCAGCAGCTTCACTCCCCTGGCAGCAGCTTCACTCCCCTGCCAGCAGCTTCACTCCCCTGCCAGCAGCTTCACTCCCCTGCAGCTTCACTCCCCTGCCAGCAGTTTCACTCCCCTGCCAGCAGCTTCACTCCCCTGGCAGCAGCTGCACTCCCCTGGCAGCAGCTTCACTCCCCTGGCAGCAGCTTCACTCCCCTGCCAGCAGCTTCACTCCCCTGGCAGCAGCTTCACTCCCCTGGCAGCAGCTTCACTCCCCTGGCAGCAGCTTCACTCCCCTGCCAGCAGCTTCACTCCCCTGCCAGCAGCTTCACTCCCCTGCCAGCAGCTTCACTCCCCTGGCAGCAGCTTCACTCCCCTGCCAGCAGCTTCACTCCCCTGGCAGCAGCTTCACTCCCTTGGCAGCAACTTCACTCCCCTGGTAGCAGTTTCACTCCCCTGGCAGCAGCTTCACTCCCCTGGCAGCAGCTTCACTCCCCTGCCAGCAGCTTCACTCCCCTGGCAGCAACTTCACTCCCCTGGTAGCAGTTTCACTCCCCTGGCAGCAGCTTCACTCCCCTGGCAGCAGCTTCACTCCCCTGCCAGCAGCTTCACTCCCCTGGCAGCAGCTTCACTCCCCTGGTAGCAGTTTCACTCCCCTGGCAGCAGCTTCACTCCCCTGCCAGCAGCTTCACTCCCCTGCCAGCAGCTTCACTCCCCTGCCAGCAGCTTCACTCCCCTGCCAGCAGCTTCACTCCCCTGCCAGCAGCTTCACTCCCCTGCCAGCAGCTTCACTCCCCTGCCAGCAGCTTCACTCCCCTGCCAGCAGCTTCACTTCCCTGCCAGCAGCTTCACTCCCCTGCCAGCAGCTTCACTCCCCTGCCAGCAGCTTCACTCCCCTGCCAGCAGCTTCACTCCCCTGCCAGCAGCTTCACTCCCCTGGCAGCAGCTTCACTCCCCTGGCAGCAGCTTCACTCCCCTGGCAGCAGCTTCACTCCCCTGGCAGCAGCTTCACTCCCCTGCCAGCAGCTTCACTCCCCTGCCAGCAGTTTCACTCCCCTGCCAGCAGCTTCACTCCCCTGCCAGCAGCTGCACTCCCCTGGCAGCAGCTTCACTCCCCTGGCAGCAGCTTCACTCCCCTGCCAGCAGCTTCACTCCCCTGGCAGCAGCTTCACTCCCCTGCCAGCAGCTTCACTCCCCTGCCAGCAGCTTCACTCCCCTGGCAGCAGCTTCACTCCTCTGGCAGCAGCTTCACTCCCCTGGCAGCAGCTTCACTCCCCTGGCAGCAGCTTCACTCCCCTGGCAGCAGCTTCACTCCCCTGGCAGCAGCTTCACTCCCCTGCCAGCAGCTTCACTCCCCCTGCCAGCAGCTGCACTCCCCTGGCAGCAGCTTCACTCCCCTGCCAGCAGCTTCACTCCCCCTGCCAGCAGCTTCACTCCCCTGCCAGCAGCTTCACTCCCCTGGCAACAGCTTCACTCCCCTGGCAGCAGCTTCACTCCCCTGGTAGCAGCTTCACTCCCCTGGCAGCAGCTTCACTTCCCTGGCAGCAGCTTCACTCCCCTGGCAGCAGCTTCACTCCCCTGCCAGCAGCTTCACTCCCCTGCCAGCAGCTTCACTCCCCTGCCAGCAGCTTCACTCCCCTGGCAGCAGCTTCACTCCCCTGGCAGCAGCTTCACTCCCCTGCCAGCAGCTTCACTCCCCTGGCAGCAGCTTCACTCCCCTGGCAACAGCTTCACTCCCCTGCCAGCAGCTTCACTCCCCTGCCAGCAGCTTCACTCCCCTGGCAGCAGCTTCACTCCTCTGGCAGCAGCTTCACTCCCCTGGCAGCAGCTTCACTCCCCTGCCAGCAGCTTCACTCCCCTGGCAGCAGCTTCACTCCCCTGGCAGCAGCTTCACTCCCCTGCCAGCAGCTTCACTCCCCTGCCAGCAGCTGCACTCCCCTGGCAGCAGCTTCACTCCCCTGGCAGCAGCTTCACTCCCCTGGCAGCAGCTTCACTCCCCTGCCAGCAGCTTCACTCCCCTGCCAGCAGCTTCACTCCCCTGCCAGCAGCTTCACTCCCCTGGCAGCAGCTTCACTCCCCTGCCAGCAGCTTCACTCCCCTGGCAGCAGCTTCACTCCCTTGGCAGCAACTTCACTCCCCTGGTAGCAGTTTCACTCCCCTGGCAGCAGCTTCACTCCCCTGGCAGCAGCTTCACTCCCCTGCCAGCAGCTTCACTCCCCTGGCAGCAACTTCACTCCCCTGGTAGCAGTTTCACTCCCCTGGCAGCAGCTTCACTCCCCTGGCAGCAGCTTCACTCCCCTGCCAGCAGCTTCACTCCCCTGGCAGCAGCTTCACTCCCCTGGTAGCAGTTTCACTCCCCTGGCAGCAGCTTCACTCCCCTGCCAGCAGCTTCACTCCCCTGCCAGCAGCTTCACTCCCCTGCCAGCAGCTTCACTCCCCTGCCAGCAGCTTCACTCCCCTGCCAGCAGCTTCACTCCCCTGCCAGCAGCTTCACTCCCCTGCCAGCAGCTTCACTCCCCTGCCAGCAGCTTCACTCCCCTGCCAGCAGCTTCACTCCCCTGCCAGCAGCTTCACTTCCCTGCCAGCAGCTTCACTCCCCTGCCAGCAGCTTCACTCCCCTGCCAGCAGCTTCACTCCCCTGCCAGCAGCTTCACTCCCCTGCCAGCAGCTTCACTTCCCTGGCAGCAGCTTCACTCCCCTGCCAGCAGCTTCACTTCCCTGCCAGCAGCTTCACTCCCCTGCCAGCAGCTTCACTCCCCTGCCAGCAGCTTCACTCCCCTGCCAGCAGCTTCACTCCCCCTGCCAGCAGCTTCACTCCCCTGCCAGCAGCTTCACTCCCCTGGCAACAGCTTCACTCCCCTGGCAGCAGCTTCACTCCCCTGCCAGCAGCTTCACTCCCCTGCCAGCAGCTTCACTCCCCTGGCAGCAGCTTCACTCCCCTGCCAGCAGCTTCACTCCCCTGGCAGCAGCTTCACTCCCTTGGCAGCAACTTCACTCCCCTGGTAGCAGTTTCACTCCCCTGGCAGCAGCTTCACTCCCCTGGCAGCAGCTTCACTCCCCTGCCAGCAGCTTCACTCCCCTGGCAGCAACTTCACTCCCCTGGTAGCAGTTTCACTCCCCTGGCAGCAGCTTCACTCCCCTGGCAGCAGCTTCACTCCCCTGCCAGCAGCTTCACTCCCCTGGCAGCAGCTTCACTCCCCTGGTAGCAGTTTCACTCCCCTGGCAGCAGCTTCACTCCCCTGCCAGCAGCTTCACTCCCCTGCCAGCAGCTTCACTCCCCTGCCAGCAGCTTCACTCCCCTGCCAGCAGCTTCACTCCCCTGCCAGCAGCTTCACTCCCCTGCCAGCAGCTTCACTCCCCTGCCAGCAGCTTCACTCCCCTGCCAGCAGCTTCACTCCCCTGCCAGCAGCTTCACTCCCCTGCCAGCAGCTTCACTTCCCTGCCAGCAGCTTCACTCCCCTGCCAGCAGCTTCACTCCCCTGCCAGCAGCTTCACTCCCCTGCCAGCAGCTTCACTCCCCTGCCAGCAGCTTCACTTCCCTGCCACTGCCCTCCCACTGTCCTGCCACTGCCTGCAACTGCAGAGCTGGCGGGGGAGGGGGGGTGGGGAAACGAGGAAAAAGGGGAATGACTTATGAGCGGAATGTGAGAGACAATGCCGTAGAGGCACGGCCCTGTGGGATGGAAGTTGGTATAGATGCAGATCCAGGGGGGACGGACGAGGGAGAAAGTGTTGTAGGGGCTAAAAATCTGTGACTCAGCGCAGGAGAAGCAGCGGATCTGGAACTGGAACTGGAGGGGAAAAGGGGGAGGAGGAGGGGGGTAATGAAGGGTAGAAAAGCGGGGAAATGGGAGGAACAGGTAGTGACTTAAGAGAGTAATGTGCTCGTTTGCGGTAGGGGCAGATATATGGGAGTCAGAAGGCGTTGGTGTAGGATCCACACCCGCGAGGCTGGGGGGGTTGGGATGTGAATGGGGGCTGGATGGAAAGACATAATCAAAGTATAAGAGGGTAGGGAAGGCATTTAAGAGACGATGGTGGAATGAGTCTTACACTGGCTGCAACCACCTCCTTAACGCACATGGCCTGCCCATCACCTTCCTCCAGCCATCCCCAGCCACTCTCACCCACTCCTCACCAACTCTCAGCAACTCCCACCTCGGTGACACCCAGCTACTCAACCCAACCAAGCCCAATCCACCCACCCACCTCAGTCAGCTGCAAGCGAGCGCAAGGCAGCCAACCGAGTCACTGCTCCTCAGTCAGCTTCACGAGATTCGCAGGGAGGGAGCGGATGGGGCTGTCATGCAGTATCAGCTGGTGCAGCTGGGAGAGACACTCTGGGAGGTGAAGCCAGGCGTTGTAGCGAATCAGCTCCAGCCTGCGCAGCCGAACCAAGCAGCTCATGCCCTGAGGCAGCGCCACCAGCCGAGGTGCTTCAAGCGTGAGTAACGTGAGCGAGGTGAGCTGCAGTATGCTTCCTGGCAGCTCCTGGCTGTCACCTCCCAACCGCATCTCCAGCTGCCGCAGACACGGCAACCTGCTGCCCTGTGCAGGCCCGCATCGCACCCCAACGCAGTTCAGCTTCAGCACCCTCAGCTGTGACAATTCAGAGATGTCCACAAAATGAGAGGCACCTTTTTTGAAGGGCCCCAAGCAGAGGGTTTCAAGAGAGGGTGGCAGACCAGCAAGAGGTTCACTCAGCCACTCACAGTCCGTCACCTCCAGCCTCTTAAGCCCCACAAACGCATCAAGCCTTGAGGGTATTTCGTAAAAAAACATTGAGAGCCACCTGCAACCGCTGATCTCCAACCTTTGAAGTCTGGTAAGCCGTGTCAGCGAGCTAGGCAGCGAGCACATTGTCCAATCAACAATCTTCAACTCCCGTAGGCTGCTCAGCTCTCCCAAGTCTTCCGGAAGATCGACATCATCGTATGGAGAACCCATCTCAAGGCTGGTCAAGGAAGAGAGCTCAGAGTAGGAATCTGGAAGGGGTATGTACTCAAACCCATGCAACCTGAGAGCCTCCAGACTTGCAAGGGCCCCAAACTCCTCTGGCAAGTGAACACCGCGATGCAGTCTTGACAAGCAGAGCGTCTTGAGAGATGTGAGGCGGCAGAAACCTTCTGGCAGCTGCTCCAGGTCGGTGCAGTTGACTATTAAGAGTGTCTCGAGAGACGTGAGGTGGCAGAAGGAAGGAGGGAGTTCGGTGATCCTCAAACCCTCCAGCACCAACAGTTTGAGGGCAGGCAGGTGACCAAAGTTGATATGCAAGGTAAATCTGCTGCTCGGCTTAAAAACGATAAGGCCTTCCAAACGGATTAGAGAAGTGAGGCTTTCAGGCAGGTGAGTGAAATCATTGCACTCGTGAATGGTTATCTTGCGAAGGCACGGCGTCAAGTCTCCTATGTGATCAGGAAGGGTCTCCAGCTTACCACAGCAGGAGATCAGCAGCTCCTCTAGCCTGGTGAACGACGATGCTGATGGGAAGATGTCCACACCACGGTGCGTAATGAACAAGTTGAGCGATTTCAGAAAAGGCGGCAGCGTCACGCTTGGAACGTTCTCCTGTTCAAGGCTGAAATAGTCAAGCAGGATGGAGAGATGGGCGAGTCGTGGGAGGGGGAGGAGGCGCATAAGATCGTCAATGCTGCAGCTGATGTACAGGGTGGTAAGGGCAGTCAGGTTGGTGAAACTGGGGTTCCGTGTGGCTGAAGCGTTGGCGAGAAGAAGGGTGTGAAGATGCGTCAACTGGAAAAAGGAATCCGGTAATGTTCTTTTGTGGAGGCAGAAGAGGCTCAGCTGCTCCAATGCAGGAAGTTTCAGAAAAAACCCATCCAACCCCTCCGTGGTTATCGGTTGCTCCTTTCTACCATAACGCTTGACCTCGTAGCCTGAAGATTGCCGTGCAAACCTTCCCACGTGGAGAGTCGTCAGCTTCGGGCATGCCGAAGCGAGGTGAGCAAGGAAGGCGCCGTTGAGCGTCTCAACGCTGTTGTCGCTGAGATGCAGGTGGGTGAGGTTGGGGAAGCACGCGACGGCGGCTGAGAGATCTTCTAGGGACACCGCGAGGTCTTGTTTAAGGAGCAGCGTGGTCACGCGAAGCTTCGCCACACGGCGCCACCGACGGCAGACGGACGCGATGATGAGATTCCGAGCCACGTCGGCTGCGGGAGGAGGGGCTGGTACCACGTCTGGGATCAGAAACGCATCTAGCGGCGTGACTGTATCAGGGATGGCACGTGGCCAGTTTGGCCAATCGTCAGTGGCCAAGTTGTCCAGTTGCGACTCGAATGAAGGCGGTTGCTCTAAGCAGTGCGTAAGGATCTTAAAGAGAAGATCGTCGGGAAGACTATGGATCGTCCGGAACTCCATGAGGGGAATCCGAGACACTAGGGACGCCGGAAGAAGTGCTAGGTTTCGCTTACACTAGAGAACCTGGCCTAAAAAAAGCGCCACGAGGAAAAACAGCGATTTCGAGAGGATGGTGCTAGCAAGCAGTACCTTACCATGCCTGGCATACCTAGAGAGCATCAACCGGAAATGAGCGGGGTGCTGAAAACCAGACGACCGGCTGCGCGTGGCGTGGAATGACTCTGGCGAGTAGGTGAGTGCCTAGAAGCGAAAGATCTGCCGCGACGCAGCGCACTGTACCGTGGACTGCCGTGCGTTACTGGTTCCATCAAGATTAGGTTTACTAGGTTGGTCGCTGTCTGAAACGGGGAGAACGTATTGTTGGGGTGAGATGGAAGGAATGAGGGCGTGTTCGATAACTAATCAGAACTTGCCAGCCTCTGTGTGGCCAGAATTGAGCTGACACATCGGGGAAACCCATGGGGAGGAAGTCCAGCCTCGGGTTCCCTCGAACCGACCCATCCGATTCGCCAAGCTTCGCTGATATTCGATTTCCGGTAACAGGTGCGTCTACATTGAATTGGTGGTCTTTGTGACGAAGTTTGATTCTTGTAACCGTCTACGAGATCGTCGTCGCTTCTCGTGCAGGAACGCGTCCGGTCCCGAAAATTGAAAATGGGGAGGTTCGACTCCGAGCTCACTTGGTCTCCTGACGGTCAGAGCCAGGTTGGGAATAGGGGGATTGCGATCGCGTTTCCCCAACGAAGTCTTATCACAAAAAACCCGGTTCAGCTTCGAGGTTTCCGAGGGTCGAAATGAGTCATTTCACAATGGCATTCGATATTTTTGGCAGATTCGGACTTCCAACAGATTTCTGACGGAAATCCGCTGGTTTCCGCACGGAAATCCATGAGGCAGGGTGTGCTTGACCGAAATGTTCGGGTGCACCCGAGTCGCGTCAAGAATGAACAGTAATTCTTGATTTCTGGCAGATTTCTGACAGGAATGCAGATGTGGGCGGCGAGGCAAGGAGTAGTGCAAAATTGATATATTTGAGATGCATACACTCGAGACTTTCAGTATATTTCAAAGCCTAAGACTTATGTATAAATAAAGCTACTTGTAATTAATATCTCATATCTGAGAGCTAAAATAGGCAATTAGGAATATCATTTTGATGTGTATTTCTCGCCAATTAATACAAAAAAATCAATGATATCTATAATCGTCGACGACAATATTAAAGCACGCTATACAAATTCATGATTTTCAAGCAGTACAAAAACAAATGCGTGCACAAAAGATTCACCGCTTCCTGTGCCTATCCTTGAACTAATTTATCAATCTCATGATTGCACAGGCCTATTCTTGCACTGTTTTAGGCCAGCAAACGCATTAACATGCGCCCCGTGCTGCATAGGTGTGCTAACGAGGTCAAACCAGTTCCTATGGTTAGGTAATAGGATGTAGTAGAGGACTGTGTGAAGAAATAGTGCTAAAAAATTCATTTCGACGTTGGCGCAGTAACATCTTGCGCAAAGGTCTATCCTTGCACAGATTCGGGCCAGCGAGCGCACAAACATGCGCCACGTGCTGCATAGTTGTGCTAACGAGGTTGAACCAGTTCCTATGGCTAGATAATAGGATGTATTAGAGGACTGTGTGAAGAAATAGTGCTAAAAAATGCATTTAGACGTTGGCGCAATGACATCTTGCGCACAGACCTATCATTGCACAGATTCGGGCTAGCGGGCGCACAAACATGCGCCACGTGCTGCGTAGTTGTGCTAACGAGGTCAAACCAGTTCCTATGGCTAGGTAATAGGATGTAGCAGAGAACTGTGTGAAGAAATAGTGCTAAGAAAGGCATTTACACGTTGGCGCAGTGACATCTTATGCACAAACCTATCCTTGCACAGATTCGGGCCAGCGAAAGCACAAGCATACGCCACGTGCTGTGTAGTTGTGCTAACGAGGTCAAACCAGTTCCTATGGCTAGGTAATAGGATGTAGTAGAGGATTGTGTGAAGAAATAGAGGTAAAAATGGCATTTAGACGTTGGCGCGGTGACATCTTGCGCACAGACCTATCATTGACAGATTCGGGCGAGCGAACGCACAAACATGCACCACGTGCTGTGTAGTTGTGCTAACAAGGTCAAACCAGTTCCTATGGCTAGATAATAGGATGTAGTAGAGAACTGTATGAAGAAATAGTGCTAAAAAGGGCATTTAGATGTTGGCGCAGTGACATCTTGCGCACAGACCTATCCTTGCACAGATTCGGGCTAGCAAACGCACAAACATGCGCCACGTGCTGCGTAGTTGGGCTAACGAGGTCAAACCAGTTCTTATGGCTAGGTAATGGGATGTAGTAGAGGACTGTGTGAAGAAATAGTGGTAAAAAATGCATTTAGATGTTGACGCAGTGACATCTTGCGCACAGGCCTATCCTTGCACAGATTCGGGCCAGCGAACGCACAAGCATACGCCACGTGCTGCGTAGTTGTGCTAACAAGGTCAAACAAGTTCCTATGGCTAGGGAATAGGATGTAGTTGGGAGCTGTGTGAAGAAATAGTGCTAAAAAAAGCATCCAGACGTTGGCGCAGTGACGTGTTGCGCACATGCCTATCCTTGCACTGTTTAAGGCCAACAAATGCACAAACATGCGCCCCGTGCTGCGTAGTTGTGCTAACGAGGTCAAACCAGTTCCTATGGCTAGGAAATAGGATACAGTAGAGAAGTGTGTGAAGAAATAGTGGTAAAAAGGGCATTTGGACGTTCTCTCTCTCTCTCTCTCTCTCTCTCTCTCTCTCTCTCTCTCTCTCTCTCTTGCTCTCTCTCTCTCTCTCTCTCTCTCTCTCTCTTTCTCTCTCTCTCTCTCACTTTCTCTCTCTCTCTTACTCTCTCTCTCTCACTTTCTCTCTCTCTTACTCTCTCTCGTTTCCTCTCTCTCTCTCTCTCTCTCTCTCTCTCTCTCTCTCTCTCTCTCTCTCTCTCTCTCTCTCTCTCTCTCTCTCTTTCTCTCTCTCTCTCTCACTTTCTCTCTCTCTTACTCTCTCTCTCTCACTTTCTCTCTCTCTTTCTCTCGTTTCCTCTCTCTCTCTCTATCACACACACACACATATACACACTCTCTCTATCTCTCTCTCCCTCTCTCGCTCTCTCTCTTTCTCTCTGTAGACGTAAAATGGCTAGATGTATCAAAGCATATTCTTATCCGGAATTACGTACATTACTGATTGGCGAAAGTCGATCCTAACCTTTGCTATCAACTTTTCATTGCAAGTTGTTCTTTCAACTTCCGTAGTGGAAACTCTTGGCAAATCTCCAACTTTCATTTGCAAGTAGCAAGAACTCCAGCAGAATGCTACGATCACTCGCACAACCCCGTGCCCTCCTCCATAGTCCACCTTCGTTGCTTAGTGACTCCCTGTAGTGGTAGGTTAGATGTATCGACTAGTTCAAGAATTCATTTTCTAAGAAAATAATGGCACTTGAAACACATATATTAGATATGAAACCAAAAAATACTCCTTAAATTCCTCATGTAACTAATTTATTGATGATTGAAACTTATTATTTCGAATGTAAGAATAATCTAGCAGCAATCAAAATGTAAAAGGTTGAGGTTCTCGCAGCAAACAGTTGAGATGGGTAAAATCCGCTTATGTTCGTAACAATTTGTGATACTTGTGGGAACAAGACTTTGGATCTTGAAACGCGTGAAGATCTTGTATCAGCAAGTATTATTATGACGCATTCACTATTCTGGAAGCAGAGGAGAGTTACGATGGGCCATCGAGCTGGTCATATCCAGGATCGCTGTTTGCGCGTCATTTCTACACACGTTATCGGAAAAGTGTGCTGTTATTGGTGTAGATTTTTATTGTTGGCGATAGCATTTGTTCTGATTGGTCCGATGTTTCCTTAGCGCGCTGGCAACATGCTGGCAACATGCGCTGTACAGCATGTTGCCAAGTCGCTAGCTGTGCAAGGCTGCCCAGCGCAACTGCGCTGGGTGTACCATTGCCCTCTGTACACCCAGCGCGCTGCTGCCCAGCGCCTTGTACCATAGCGCGCTTTTGCAGTCCAGCGCAACTGCGCAACACAGCGCAGTTGCGCTGGACTGCAAAAGAGTGGAGCTCCGCAATTGGTGCAACTGCCAACTGTGCAGCTGCTGCCAGCGCAAGTGCCAGCGCGCACCTGCGACCTCCAGCGCACCTGCGACTCCCCCAACAGCACATCCCACCCAGCACAACCCAATCTGCCCTGCTGACGGGGCAAGAGCAACAGCAGCTGGTGCGCCGTTTTCAGTGATCCCTCCCGTCGTTCTCTTTCAGCCCTCCCTTTCGTCACTTCTCCGTTCATTTTTTCCAGTTTTTATCAGGTTTCCTTCCTTCCTGTCCAGCTCACCACGCTCCATGCCTATTAGCAGGTACGGTACTTGGCCTCGGTTTATTGTTGAAGCCATCGACTTCTAGTAGCTCTTTTAACCACCTCGTCATCGTTTTTTTCCTGGTGCAGCACTTATCAGTGGGTGAAAGTTGGGCATCACGGCTGGCGCGCGTTTTTCTTATCTGCTCTGTTTCTTAAACCTTATTTCCTTGAGCATTCGCATTTCAAACGGTCGACTAATCCAGTTCGATTATCTGCTCTGTTTATTGTTTGCTAGGATTGCAGATCAAGTTGTACCCCAGATTAGTAGTTAATTGGTGACGCCAATTCACGCACCGGTACGTTTTTCCGTAATAGTTCTTCTGCTACTATTCTTCCGGCTAACGTGAGGAAGTAACGTGATGTTTTCCTTGCTTATCGTTCTGCCTCACCTGCGGCAGGTACCATGGAGTTCTGTTATGCTGTTGCTGCAGCAGCAATGTCTGCAGGTTATTCCGTGTACCTATATGGTGCTTCCTAGTTTCTCTGTTCTTATTGTACTTGTGTTGTGCTATTCTTGATGACCCATAAGAGGTTTCTTGTGTTGTATGTACTGCTTCAATTGTAAATGTTTTTTATTAATA